TCCTGTTGCCTCCCTGGGATTTGGTGTCCAAGAAGATGTGCCCAAAGAGCCATTTTGTGCACAGGCAATGAAGGGATGAAAGAAGGAGTTGTGGTTCTCCTGCAGTCTGTGGTGGTTTCTGCTGTGAACTGTAAGGATTTTATGTGTGCAACCATAAAAGCAATAGCAGCATTTAATGTGAGGTTGCCATCCAAAAGAGTGTGTGCCAGGAAAATAATTAATGATAACAATGCTGTGAAAAAAACATAATATTTTCTGTGTGCCACTGCAGCCTCTCCTTGACGTGCTTGCCTGCAGAGTGCTGGACCTACAGCGGGGTGAAATGAATAGGAAAAAAGAGAAGGTTTTTCAGTGCTGCTTCAAAACCCAAAATCATACTGCCCTGTGTATTTTGGGTAAAAAACAGTAGAAATTTGTCCTTGGGAATGGGAATGTGTCATGTACTTAATCACCTTGAAGTGGCCATAGCCACAGACAGCTTCCGTCACACCTGGGCTGGGACAATGGGAGCTGCCATGGAAAGCTTCTTTCTGCTTTCTCTGCTTTCCAAAATGTTGTCCTGTGGCCTGGGGTCAGGGTTTTCATTGTGGAAACCCTTCTAGAAGGTTAATAAACTTTTTAATTAGCAAGTATTTAGCTGGGGTTGATGTGACTTCTTACGGCTTTTACTGTTCATCACCTCTTTGGATATCCTTTTGATTAGATTTCAAATGTTGTTCCTCATTAAAGTGATGGATTTATTAAAGAACAGGACAGACTTTATTAATTTTTAACTGCAGTCTTTTCTAATCTCAGCTGTTTCCATAACTGTGGATCAACATAAGAAAGTAAATTTCAGCTTGTAAAATAACATTCCTCTTCAACAGAATAAAATACTGGGAAGTGCAAATATTCTTTTTAATAGTTCCAATCAAACAAACCATTCTTGGCTACTTCAGCTGCCATGGAGTGAATGGACTGAAATAGGGGATGAATTTGTCTGCCCCTCCTGCTGTTCCCAAGCTGATTTTAGAAGGATGAGTGCACACAGGTATCCAGGGGCCCAAGGCAGGACAGCAGCTTAAGATGGGATTATTTTTTCCACATATACATTGCAACATGCACTTGATGGAAAAATGTGCCAGAAGAAGGGGAGCAATCATGGCAGATGGAGGGGAGCAGATTGTTGTTTCAGAGCAAAGGAGGAATGGTGAATGAAGTCGTGGCTCTGGGAGAGGGCAAAGGGCAGTGAAAGCACTGAGCAGCTCCTCTCATCAGCCACATCATTAACTCCAGAAAGGCTCCCTCCAGCTACGCCCCTGCTCCAATGTCCTTTGGTCTCAGGTTTTCTGTTAGGAAGCTCTTGTAGGAAAAAGCTCTCAGACACAGTGATGGTTTAAAAATTTTGACCCTCTCACAGATTTGCACCTGCTGAAAATTCAACAGCAGCAGAATAAACAAGGCTGGGTGGATGTCCTTTTCTCACCACGGTGTCCTGTGCAGGGAGAGGGGACAAGCTGCCTCCAGGCTCCCAGTCCTGCCAGGACCATCTGCTGGCTCCGAGCACATTGTGAAAGCACAGGATAACCTGTTAGAGCAAAAGCAATTCCAACATAATGGCTTCATGTTCTGTTCTCACAGGCTGTTTAAAAACCAATATTGAGAAGATTGTTTGCTGAGTTTGGGAGTCTTGTTGGGGATTGCAAGAGAAAATGAAAGAAAAATTAAAATACTTGTGGCTTTCTGTGATGACCAGTAATCAATTTCTTTTTATTTGTACATCTGTGCAAGGCTTTAAAACCGGAAGATGAAAAAGAATGGCCATTTCTGTTGGCTGATGGACAGGAAAGTGCTGTTAAAATGAGTGGATTCTAATGGCAAACATACACAGGAGTGAGAGGTACAGCCACACTTGCCTGGGGTCTGTGTGCACCGTTAGGAGCTGGGGTTGTCCTGTGCTGTTGGGGAATGAAACGTCAAGGGTTTGCATCAGATTTGGCTCTGGTTTTACTGGTAGACTCATCTGTGCTCACAAAAACCTTGTGTTCACAAGGGGTTGCTCTCACAAGGGGAGAGCTGGAAGGAACATGGCCTGGAAATGGGAAATGGCCAAACTTCCATGTACACTGGGATTTTGCAGCAATGGACCAGAAACTGAAATTATCAGAAGCAGCATTTGTCACTTCAGTCATTTGTCTTGTGTTGGTGCTGAAGTACCCGTGCTCTCTTTATAATCCTAAATCATCCTTTGAAGAACATCAGCTAGAATGTGGAAACTAATCTTCACAGGGCTGAGTATCTGTGAGACTGTGAACAGAAGTGTTTAATTCTCCTCCAAATGATTAAAAGTGATTTCTTCTAATGTCTTCAGGTGTTACAAATTAGTAAATGAATTCTAGCTTGAATGTAAACTCGTGTTGAAGGCTGGTTGCAACATATAGCTATGAAGTTTAAAAAAGAATTAAAACTCCAACCAAATCAAATAAAAAAAAGTGATTGGAACCTTAAACATTCTCTGGTATATTGCAGAGGGGTAAATGATTGCAAGTGCTGTTTTGGCAGGTGATTGAAGGCACAAAATGCCACATATGAATCTTAAATTGCATCAGCAGATTTACTCCATTGCTTTGGGTAGAATTAGTATTAGTCACTGCCTATAAAGCCTGATCCTCATCATTGTCAGGATGACATTAGTCAGTGAGATCTGGAGGAACCCAAACAGAGTTAAGCTATTCCTGCATGATAAAATTTGGAACAGAGCCCAGACCTCATGTTTCCTCTGTCTGTGGTGGGACAAGGATCCTGTCTGAGGATCCAGCCTGGTGTGTTGGACAGCAGTGACCTGGTGGCACCGAAATCTGAGCCTGCAGCTGAGCCCTGTCACCTCCTGCATCCCTGTGACAGTGTAGGGAGCTCCTCCAAGCATTTGGCAGTTCCCATCTGCTCTCAAGGAGATGGGACTGTTGTGCTTCTGCTGCACCTTGGAACAGAAACCCAGGGCAGATGAGCTCCTGACTCCAGTCCTGTGCCACGGATGAGTACAAACCCTCACAAGAGCATTGGGAGAACTTCCTTCTTTACTGTTCAGGTTCTTTTGGGACCCAGGAAGGTTGGAGTAGGACAGATTCATAGAACCTTGTGGGCAGAATCGTTTTGGAAGAGCCAGGAGCAAGCTCTGTTCAAAGAGCTTTGTTGAGCAGAGCTGAATCCAGAGAGATTCTTTCATATTCTTTCATATTTCACTGGTTAATTCTCTGAAGAAAGAGAGATCTGTGTGGAAAAAAACCAATTGTGGGAATGGAATCTGGAAATGGAATGGAAAATGGAATCTCTGCTACTGATTTTCTCCATTTCCTTCTTTTGCTTCTACTGGAAAAAAACAAGTAACCCAAGGCAGGAGGCAGCGGTTCCTGTGTGTGAGCTGTGTGCCCTGCACTCACAGTCTGCTTTCCCAGGACCAAGTGGAAAAAACTTATGTGGAATACTGTGTGGTTTTCATGTCAGAAAATCCAGCTTTGGCATGTCCTGGCTGCTTTGATATGGCCCATCAATGTCTTCAGTATTGTTCTCCATCTTTCTTTTGAATTTTTCATCTTTCCAAGGGGTTTGAAGGTGCCCCCATGAGTACCTGTGCCTTGTGAGGTGTTAGCAGGGTACATCCCATGCTGGGGAGGTGCCTTGTGTCTGGATTGTGCTGGATTTCCAAAAGCTCGAGTACTTTACAGGAGTTACCAGCTTTAAACAGAAAATCCAACTGACCCTGGCCATGCAGTTGCTGACACAGTGTTGGCAGCAGGAATCAGAGCAGGCTGAGCTTATCTTTTTTCCCTAAGGGATTAGTAACTTCTTCCTGAACAAAGCCCAACTTCTTTTTGCTTAGCCACTTTTTGATCTCATAAGACAGTGACCTCACAGGATTCAAATTAAGCCTCAGGGATGCAGAAAAATCAAAATCAATCTTCTGAGACTTCTGTCAAAACACCAAGAGAAACATGGGGGGGTTAAAAAGTGCATTTGTGTGCACAAACACACACAACCCCTCTGTTAACTGTAAGATTGGATGCTTACAAGTTAAATGCAGATTTTCAGTTTAATGGCTTCTTCTTCCACAGGTGCCTGCTCAAAGAGCAAGGAGATAGTGATTATTTTTTTATGATTTCCTAGAAGAATGCTGTGTCCTGAGAAATTTGATTAGGAGGACTTATCATGGAGGACTTGCTGTGCTGAGCCTTGTTTAATATTTCCTGGCACAAACCCCAGGAAGTCAGTGGCATGTGCTGTGTGGCACTTAAAGGTTTTCCAAGCTTTCCTTCAGATGTGGCCCCGTGTCTCGTTTTGCGACTCCTCTTTGTTTCAGTGAAACAATACCAATCTAATGATCTGGGGTGCACAATATCTTTGTGCTGTAAAGGTTTTTTTTGTTCTCTTTCTAGGCTTTGAACAAATGATAGCAATTAAACTGTTATTGCTCAATTCTGAATATTGTTTAAAACACAGGTGAAACTTGGGTTCTTTCACATTTTCAAATGGCTTATTTTGCAAATATTTGTAATTGCTGGGCTTGAAGAAAGCTTTGTGTCCATGTCCATTGCACTCTTCCTCCTCATTCAGAGCACTGTGCTTTAATTCCATTAACAGAGAACAGCCTGACTGGTGCAGAGTAAGATGCAAGCCTAAAGCTTCATTTCTATAGGGATTTTAACCCTCATTGTTTCAGCTTTTGCCTTCCTTCCACGTGGCAAGGCAAACCCCAAACCTTTAATTGGCATTTGATCTTAATCCTGCAACAAATCTTTGATTGATTCTTCATTGCAACAGCTCCTCACCGTCATTTTGATGTGTGCATTTAAACCTGGGACTGTTCCCCTCTGTCCCCTGGGATCCAGAATTGACAGCTGTGCCTCAAATTTCAGTCACCGTTCTTGTGAGTTTCCAATACTCCTGTCAGCACCTGCCTTCCCCCCAAAAGCTCCTTTCTCAACATCTGGTGGTTTGACTTTGTGTTTTTCCTTGTGTCGTAGGTCTTTAAATACTCTGCACCAGTTTTGCTGTCCAGCTCCATTGTACCATTCCCAGCTAGCTGTCCCTGCCACACACTCAGAGTACAGGTAAGAGTAGACATGCTCCACCCACTGCTGCTTTTTGGAGAGTTATCTGATGTTGCCATTTGACACTAGACAAGCAATAGTGGCTTTAGTTTTAAAAGGAAAAAGTGTAAACAAACAAAAAAAAGAATATTGGAATAAATATCCAATATTTTTGACGTCTGGTAGGGTAGCTGTGAATAGAACCATCACTGCAGTGAGTCCTTCTCTCAGGCACTCTGGAATTACTCAGTAAAATGAGTGTCATGAGCTTTAAGAGGCCCATCCCCCTGTGCTTGCAAAGGTAGGGAGAAAGGATTTGTAGGCTTAGCTCTCACATGACAAATGTGCTGAAATATTTATATAATTCATGGAGGATAATGATGTTGTTCTGAGCAACACTTTTGTTCACCCCTGCCTATTCCATGCCAGTAGCTGAGGAATTCATCCATGTGTTTAATCCCCTGAGGGTTAAAGGCATGGACCTGCCCAGGGCTCAGTACTGACTTGGGTTTGAATGAAATAATGGGGTTTTAAACACAACTAGGTCCTCGATGCCAAGCAGACCCTGTCCTGAATATATCCAAAATATATGTTTTCCAGCTCATAATGCTTCTTTTAACATAGATGCCTTTACTATCTATGTGTTCTCTTCGATCCAATGTAGAGAGCAGCAATTACATCCCATAGTACAATTCACTGTCAGTGCCAGTGTTTATTGTAACACCTTAGAGAAGCATCAAAGGGCAGCTACTCTAAGTCATTGGAAATGTAAAAACTGTTAAAAATTGTGCATGCCATGGAAAATATTGTCTTGAATTTTTACTTCTGCTATGAGCAATCGACTTAGTGGTTATTGCCAGCTCATGAATAATATTAATATCAAAATATTGGAAGCCTGGTGCTGAAAAATCAAAATTGTTTCGCACAGGTAATAAGGAAAGACAAAAGCAAAAAATGAATCCTAAATCTGTAAATGCATAAACATATTTCTGGTTTGAATATTTCATCCCATAGTTACCTCTAACCATGCATGCTTGGATTCACTCTGTTGGTTTGTGTTGCAGCATCTGTTTATGTGTTTGGGTTTTTTCTCCCATCAGAGCCCTTTGTTTATTTGGTGGTAGTGAGTCCATAGCTGAGTTATAAGACAGCTCAATATTCCTTTGGTGAGGAGCAGGGCCTGAAAACTCTTAGATTCCCTACTTGCTTTTTAGTGAGGCTTTTAGTTTTCCTGTGTCCTTGGTTGATAGTGCTTTAATTTTAAGGATCTTCCTGTAGGGATGTTGATGGGAAAACACGCTGTTCCTTGAATGTCTCAGTGTCGTGCTCCATGTAGGGTGTTATTTTTATCACTAATATTTCTTCTAGAGTTAAAGCTTAGAGCAGCAGAACTTCATGCTTGAAAAATCTGAATTTCTTCAGGTTTTTTTGTGCAGTGAAGACAGAAATTCCCTGCTCTGGATATGTAAAGCCTTGTACCATTTTCAGAGCACCTAAACGTGTGCTGTGGGACCTTCAGCTGACAGCTCAGGACTGAGGGGTGGGAAGGAGCTCATCCCTGGCCTTATCTGCCCTCAAGGAAGTTTAGGCTCAGGGAGGACCTTCTGGCTCTGCTCCCTGGCAGGAGAGGACATCCAGGGAAAATGGGGGTCTGCTCCCAGGGAACAGGGATAGGAGGACAGGGAATGGCCTTAGGCTGTGCCAGGGGAGGCTCAGGCTGGATATCAGGGAAAAGTTCTTCACTCAAAGAGTTGTCAAATCCTGGCAAAGGGTGCCCAGAGCAGCTGTGGCTGCCCCTGGGTCACTGGAAGTGTCCAAGGCCAGGTTGGATGGGGTTTGGAGGGATAGTGGAATGTGTTCTTGCCCGTGGCTTTAAGGTCATTCCAATCCAGACAAGTCTGGGGTTCTGTGAATAGGAGAATATGGAAAAGCTGCAGCCAATCTCTCCCAGGGACAAGAGGCAACCAAAACAAATTGCAGTAAGGAAAATTCCAGTTAAATGCAAGGTAGGGAGAGAGGGAATTTCACCGTGAACTTGGTCAAATGTTGGAGCAGAGGCCAGCAGAGGAAGTGGGGTCTCTGTCCTCAGCCATGCTCAGTTCAGTGGGGCGCGACTGGCTGTGCCCTGCTCTGAGCAGGGACTGGACTGTCCACACCTCCACAAGTCCCTTCTGACACAAATCCTTCATCCCACAGCACCTTGTTCTTGGAAAGGAAAAATAGAGTTGCAAAATAGAAAATTTTATTCTGTAGAATTTAATTTCAAATTATGCAGCGATGTTAATGCTGTCCCTGCCCACAGATGTGCTGCTGTGCTGGAACCAGACTGTTACAATCATTCTCATGGCAGGAATTGGTTTGGTTTACCCATAATTTCAATTTCTGAAGTTGTTATATCCAAACTGCCATCCCCATGACTGTAATCTCTGAGTCAAGTGCAAATGATGCACCTGGTTTTGTACAGGACCTGTACACAGGGTTTCGTTCACATTACTGCGAACGAAAAGGAGCTACTAGAGCTCTAACAGGATTGGGCTTTGCATTTCCACATACACTTAATGGTATTAAATTTAGCTTTTAGTCTTCCCATTTATCAATTTATAAATAGAAATAATTAGAAACAAAACTAACAGATGTGGATGCTTTGGTCTGGCTTCAGTTTTGAGGCTTTATTTCGAAAATACACAGAGGGATTAATTTTGTAGCCCAGAATTAAAAATTAAATTTGCTCCAAAAGAAGCAATTGATGAATGCACTACAGTGAAATCTGGAGCATCTCTGATTTGCTGTTAGCTAATTGCTGGATGTTTGATTCACTCCAGCAGTTTTATTTCTAGTCAAGACAATCTTTGGCATCTGTTTTGAATTGTTAATAAGGAAATAATGCATTTTTAATAACTGCAGCTATTGCAGTAATCCCTCACTCATTTTACAATGCTCAAAATAGACAGAAATAATACAAGTTATCTTGCATTCTCCTATTTCAAGGGAAGTCTTGCGAAGCCTGAGCATGTCGTGTCCTTCCACCTAGATACTTGTCTGGGCTCCGGGTAGCCCATATGCCTCCTTTGCTTGCTTTTTTGGGTTATTTCTGTTTGGAAATTAGAAACTAGACCGGCAATATCTGTAGCTTGGCTTCTCTGACTCCCTTCCCCTTCCTGCCTCCCGAGTAGAGCCTTGGAAACAATGACCTCTAGTTGGAAGCTGCAGGTTCCACGAGCTGCTCTGGATTCGTTAGATATCATTGGAATGCAGTTTTTATATCTGGTGTGAAGGGCAAAGTAAAGGAAATGCAGGACACTCCAGAGAGGCTTCTGAAAGCAGAAATCCCAGCAGTCCTGTACTTCAGCTGCTGAGCCTCTGGCTTGATCCAGCTGCATCATCATCTCAGAGGCCTTGCAGCTGGAATCTGAGCTGAGCAAAGCCCAGAGATAAAATGCCATCCGGAGAAAGGGAATTTAATCAGTTCAGTGTCTTCACTGAGGAAGTTTGTCCACAGTATTTCCTATGGCTGTAAACTGACAGAGAGTAGGTATAGAATAGATATGGGCAAGAAATTGTTGCCTATGTGGGTGGGCAGGCCCTGGCACAGGGTGCCCAGAGCAGCTGTGGCTGCCCCTGGATCCCTGGAAGAGCCCAAGGCCAGGCTGGACAGGGCTTGGAGCAGCCTGGGACAGTGGAAGGTGTCCCTGCCCATGGCAGAGGGTGGCACTGAATGGGCTTTAACTTCCCTTCCAACCCAAGCCAGTCTGGGATTCTGTGACACATCTTTAGGCAAACTTCAGTCAGACCCTCAGCCCACCTGTGCAGGTACCTCACACAGAGCAAACTTTTATGTACAGAGGTGCCCATAGTGGGGATTTCCAGCCCTGTTCCTATCTGCATTCCTTGTGTGGGTGTGGAATAGGCTGATGTATGCAAACTGCAGCTGTGGACAGATTTGCTTGCCACTACGTCTGAGCATCTTTCCATCTGATGTGTTTATTCGTAACTGTGATTTCCTTGTTCTGATTTGCATGAAATGTTGGCTGTCACTCATTCTCCATCCACTCTACCTTCCATTCCTCTTATCTCGAATTAGATGCCCTTATCATGTCCAAAGACCATTTTTTAAATTGTGAAGCTAGAGATTTTTCTCTTCTTTTTTTTTTTTTCCCAGTGAGGCCTGTGAAAACAAAATGATAATGCAAAGGATGTTATAGTGCCAAAGAAATCCCATCATTTTCTTGCAGTCTCTGCCTGCTTAATGTTTAATCAGCACCTCTGGGAGGTAAAACCATCATTCTGAAAATACTGTGCTTGTGTGAGATTTTAATGTGGAATCTTTGTTTCACCAGGTAATGTTGGCTCACATGCAGCAAACCACTGTGTGGACAATGATAGAAGGATTGATTGTGCTACTTCTTTCTGTCTGAGCCCCTGGGAGGCTTTGGAGTTGTTTTGCACCATAACTGGTTAACAGAGGCTCCCCCTACATGATGCTGAGCTTTCAGATGCTTCTATCATGTATTGGAGTGGTTTGGTTTTCCTTAACTCTTCTTAAGAGCACAATGGGAATTCTTGCACACTGACACAGCCAGGGAAAACTGGGAAATAGCTTGTACCCCTAAAACGAAAAATATCTATAGATAAATGTACTTCACAACTCTTAGTTTATTTTTTCCCCACTGCTGGGCACTGTACTCTTTCCTGACCTACAAAGCAAACATTTTTTGTGTCCTCCCTCCTCTCCCTCTAGAGACATCCCACACCATGCATCCTGGTCCTGTGGTAGCTTCTCATCAATGCCTAGTCACAGGTGAAGACATATCTGAAGGAGCTGCATTCAGAATTCATTTTAGTACTGATATGATTATTCATTGACATTTTCTACCAAAAAAATGTTGAATAAGGATCTAATTTCTAACTGCAATTCCCTAGCTGTCAACCTCAACATGTTTAAGCACTCTCTAGAATATGCAGAGATATAAAAGCTTGATGGCATTTTAATTTAACTGAGCAAAGGAGTGAGAGCAGCATTG